ACCTCCAAATGGTTTTTCCATGTTAAGAAGACTTCCAGAAGGTCTTCTCAGTTTAAAAAATGCTTAAAAGGTTTTTCAGGTTGAGAAGACCTCCAAAGAAAAAAAATGGAAGACATTCTGAAAGTTTTTTAAACAAGGTAGTCCTTTGAGAGGTCTTCCAAAATTAGACAACTTTCTAGATATCTTATAAACACAGAATACTTCTAGATGATGTTTAGGCGACAGCCATAGCAGTTTATATGTTGAGAAGACTTCCCGAAACTTTTCTGTTCAGAAGAGGTTCTGAGGGACTTATATTTTTAAAAAACCTCCAAATGGTTTTTCCATTTTAAGAAGACTCCCAGAAGGTCTTCTCAGTTTAAAAAATGCTCAAAAGGTTTTTCAGGTTGAGAAGACCTCCAAAGAAAAAAAAATGGAAGACATTCTGAAAGTCTTTTAAACCAGGTAGTAATTGAGAGGTCTTCTAAAATTAGACAATTTTCTAGATATCTTATAAACATAGAATACCTTTAAGAAGCCCTTCCATGTTCCAAATGGTTTTCTATGTTAAGAAGACTTCCTGAAGACCTTCAAAAGGGGTTTCAGGCTTATAACAACCCCAAGAAATGGAAGACACTCTGGAAGTCTTCTAAACAAGGTAGTCCTTTGAGAGGTCTTCTAACCTTGAAAAATTTTCTAGATATTTTCTAGAGTTCTTCTAAACTTGGAATAACCTTTAGAGTCTCGAATATCTTCTAGAGAACGTCTGAAGACCTCTAGATATTCTTCTATATTTTAGAAGACTTTCTATGTTTGGAAGTATTCTCGAAGTTTGTTTCGAGGTCTTCTAAACTTGGAATAATTTTTAGAGGTCTTTAGAAAACTTTCAAAAGACTTTTTATGTTTGGAAATCTTTTCGAATTTCTGCCATATTAGATATCTCCAAAATGTTTTCTATGTTTTTCTACGTGCGTAATGAACATAGAACATAGATCTTCTAAACATTGAATAACTTAAAGAGTTCTTAGAAACAGAATATCTTCTGGAGTCATTCCAACGATCGAGGCTCTTCGGTATTTTAGAAAACTACCAGAAGTCTTCTCAATTTTCTTCTATATCCAAACGACCTCAACAAGCTCTTCCATGTTCGGAAGAACCTCAAAACGTTTTCTTTGTTTGCAAGACCTTTCAAAGCTTGTCTTTGTTTAGAAGGCTTCTAGAGGGTCTAGTATGTTCAGAAGAGCTTCGAAAGGTTTTCTATGTTTTCAAGTTCGGACAAAGGGCTTTAAGAAGACTTGTAGAGAGTCTTTTGCTTCTAGAAGGCATTCAGATGGACTCCTGTGTTTAGAAGACTTTTCGAAGATTTTCTATGTTTTATGTTTTCGTAAACATAGAAGATCTTCTAAATCTAGGTGAAACTTAGTTAGTCTTCTTAACATAGAAAACTCTGTGCCAGTCTTCTTCACATGAAAAAAACCTCAGCTAGGCCTTCTAAATATTGAAGACACTATAAGTTTTCTATATTTTCATAGAAGGCTCTCCATGTTTTCAAGTTCTCCAATGGACGTTTAGAAGACTTGAGGAGAGTCTAGAAGATCTCCAGATGGGCTCCTTTGTTTAGTAGATCTCTCGAAGGTCTTCTATGTTCTCGTAAACATAGAAAGTCTTAGAATACTCTTTGGCAGTCGTCCTAACATGAAAAAATCTCCTCTAGACCATCCAAACATTGAAGACCCTATACGTTTTCTATGTTTTCATAGAAGGTTTCAAGTTCTCCAATGGACCTTTACCAGACTTGTGGAGAGTCTTTGGCTTCTTGAAGATGGGCTCCTATAATTAGAAGACCTCTCGAAGGTTTTCTATGTTCTATGTTTTAGTAAACATAGAAGATCTTCAAGATGTAGGGGAACCTTAGTTTTACTTCTTAACAGTCTGCCTAACAAAAAAAAAACTCTCAAATGAACTTTTAGATGACTTGTAGAGAATATTTTGACTCTTGAAGATCTCCAGGCCTTGAGAGGGCTTCTATGTTGAGAAAACCTCTCGAAGCTTCTCAATATTCACTGTTTTCGTAAACATAGAAAATCTTTTGGATGTAGGAGAACCTTTGTTAGTCTTCTTAATATAGAATTCTCTTTGGCAGTCTTCCTAACATGGAAAAAACATAATCTAGTCCTTCTAAACATTCAAGAAGGTATTCTATGTTTTTATAGAAGGTTTTTTATGTTTTCAAGTTCACCAATGGACTTTTAGATCACTTGACTCCTCTAGGCCTTCCAAACATTGAAGAACCTATAGGAATCCTCTTCTATGTTTTCAAGTAAGTTTTCTGTTTATATGACATCCATAGGGCTTTCTATGTTTGCCAGACATTCAAAGGCTATTCTATGTTTGGAAGACCTGCAGTGGATCCCCTACGTTCAGAAAATACAAAAAATCTCCAGCAAACCTCCAGATGTTTTTTTTTTTGCTTTTGGAGACCCATAAAAATCGTCTATGTTCAGGAGACCTCCAGAAGGTCTTCTATCTTTACGGAAAGTTTTCGTTTTTTTAAGATTTCCAGAAGACCCCGACAAGGTCTTCTTCTAACATAGAAGATCTTCTGGAGGTCTCTTAAACACAGACGATTTTTTATGGGTCTCCAAAATATATAGAAAATCATCTGGAGATTTCTTTGAGGTTTTTTTTGTACATAGAACACCCTCAAGTGGTCTTTACCATATCTAAACAAAGAATACCTTCTCCTGGAAATCCAGAATGTATTTTTTACACATATAAAAGACCTCCACAGGGCACTTTGTTGTTTGGAGATCGTGAGAAGGTATTCCATAGATTTAGAAAGCTTTTTAAAAAAACTTCTCACGAAGTAGTCTTCATCATATCTAACCAAAGAATACATTATCCTGGAAATCCAGGATGTATTCTTTTTATATTAAAGTCATCCACAGGCCACTTTGTTGTTTGGAGATCGTGAGAAGGTATTTCATAGATGTAGAAGGCTCTTTAAACAAAACTTCTCACGATATAAGACCTTCTAGACTTTTTGAATGTCCAATATACCAGAGGTCTTTATTAGGCCTTCTGGAGGACTTCAATTCATGGAAGACTCTGTTGCACACAGGATATCTTTAGCAAACCCTTTCATGTTTGGTAAAACTTTTCAACGTCTGCTACAAAGTAAATGTCCTACACGATTTTTTATGGTTCTCCAAAATATATAAAATCATCTGGAGGTTTCCTGAAGATTTTTTCTACATAGAACACCCTCTAGTGGTCTTCACCATATCTAAACATATCCCTGAAATCCAGAATGTATTTTTTACATATAAAAGACCTCCACAGGCCACTTTGTTGTTTGGAGATCGTGAGAAGGCATTCCATTGATGTAGAAGGCTCTTCAAAAAACTTCTCACGTTATAAGACTTTCTAGACTTTTTAAATGTTCAATAACTATGGATATACCAGAGGTCTTTATTATGCCTTTTGGAGAACTTCACTTCATAGAAGACTCTCTTACACATAGGTTATTTTTATGGAGCTCTTTTATGCTGGGAAACCCTATCAGGGTCTCCTACAAATAAAACAAGTAAAAAAGCTGTAAGTTCGGCCGGGGGCTATTCGAAGACGTGGACCTGCTCAGACAATTTTCTGTCATAGGCTATAGTATTCATTACGAACTTCAAATGTGAAATTTGAAACAATTCCGGTAAATAATGTCTTTAAAATCATCAATATACCCAATATCGGGAGGTACCGTTATATGGGGGCTATAGGAAGACGTTAACCTACGGGCTCATTTTCTGTCTTAGGATGTAGTATCCATTACTAACTTCAAATACAAAATTGGAATAGTTCCAGTAAATAATGTCGCTAAAATCACCAAAATACCGAATATCGGTATCGTTATATGGGAGCTATACGAAGACGTGGACCTGTACAGACAATTTTCTGTCATAGGCTGTAGTATTCATTACGAACTTCAAATACTTAATTTGAAATAGTTCCGGTAAATAACGTCTTTAAAATCATCAAAATACCGAATATCGCGAGGTAACGTTATATGGGGGCTATACGAAGACGTAGACCTACATGGCCCATTTTTTGTCTTAAGCCGTAGTATCTATTACGAGCTTTTAATATTAATTTTGAAACAATTCCGGTAAATAATGTCGCTAAAATCATCAATATACCGAATATCGGGAGGTACCGTTATATGGGGGCTATACGAAGACGTGGACCTACATGGCCCATTTTCAATACCAAAAGTCCTGCAGACATAATACACATTTGAATAAAATTTTATCGACCTACTTCATTTCGTTCGGAAGCTAGAGTGATTTCCACAGACGGATCGACGGACAGACGGACGGACATTGATAATTAGAATCTTAAGCTGATCAAGAATATATATACTTTGTTGGGTCTAAAATGTATATTTCGAAGTGTTACAAACGGAATGAAAAACTGAATATATCCTCCATACTATGGTGGAGGATATACAAATTTTTTTCTATGAACATTTGATTTTCAAAAACTCGGTCTTATATGTACTGCTCCTTAAATATATATTTCAAAACTGTTTCTCTCTGTACACACATATATTTTGGGCTTATATAGACTTTTTACTATAGCTCTCTTCCAGAACTGCAAGAATTTAAAACTTTTTACTACGATAACCGATTTTTCCTTTATGAAATAAAAAAAAAAAAATCCAAAACTAGTAGATTCTTGCAGGTTCTGGGGGGGAGTATTTATTGGCTTTGGTTGTAAGTTAAAATAACACCCCTCTCCCCCCTACATTAGTTATAATTTTGAAATAAGCTTTTATTTTAACCCCAAATTAGTTTTAGTACTAATTACTTCTAACCCCCCTAATGTAAACCAAATATATATTTTTCTTTCCCCCGCAAAATTGTCGTTGTTCTACGTCCCCCCTTCAAAAAACCAAAATAAACCCCCCGTCCATGTAACTTGTGTTGTTGCCTCTCTCTCACTCTCTCTCGATGCCCTTTGAACCGTAGCAAAAACTCTTGGATGCGGCTATAGCAAAAAATACTAACGATGAACTAAAAACTTTACAAGTCAAATTGTCAATCTTGGAAGATGAGTTACGCAAAGCTTTAGTTAGGGCCGAGACGGCTGAGCATGAATTAGAACAATTGAAAAATCTCAAAGGGGACAGAGCTGGAGAGCCAACTTCAGCCATGCCTATGCTACCGCCACCACCGCCTCCGCCCATGCCTAGCAAATTGCTTTACAGTGCCACACCGCTGAGAGCCCCAACATCGGGGGCCGACGAAGCAAGTTTCTCGGATAGCATTGCTCGAATGCATGACCAGCAAAGAAATACCGAAGCTGGAGAAGGCCTCTCGCAAAAACTAATCGAAACGGTTAAGCAACAGGTACAACCCGAAGCAGCAACAGGTAGGTGGTGATTTTTGTTAGCTTTCCATATTCGGTTTTCTTTAACAAAAAGATTCCTTCACACACACACGTACGTATCTCTACACAAGCACACAACAAGTACACGCTTTCACGCTCCCACACAAATGAAGCAACAAATTCTGCTGAATGCAGAACGACAGTCAGACAGGTGACACATGGCAGGCCTTTGTATTGGCTAGCAGAGAAGATGAACCCACACACATATATATTTAGTTAAAGGAGTAAATATCAACATCAGAGAACACACGTGCTGGCTGAGCTCTCTCCCCCCACCGGCCTCCACATATTACTATGGCACAAAAATAATGTGTGTGTGGAGGTTTTGCAGCTCTCTTTGGCATTGAGTATGCTTTTATATGTAAGGCCAGATGAGTAAACACTCATTGTGTTCGTCGGAGCTCAGTATTTGTTTTGTTGTTGATATAAATATTTCCGATGCTGGTTGTCATGGCTTCTGGTCTCCTAATGAATACAGCGTTGTTGTTCTCTTCTCTTTGGGAATAGATGAGTACATGGGAGTGAGGGAGTGACTCACTCAATTTAAAAATATATTTTTTTTGTAAATACTTGGATTGAATTTTTAATTCCCAAAGCCTGGGATGGAAAATTATAAATTCCACTGGAATTTGAAAAATGAATGGGAGACCCCCTTGGCCTCTTCTATGTATAAAACATTCTGAAAAAAATCTAGAGGGTTCTTATACTAAGAAGACCTGGGGGAGTTATCTTATCGTATATTCCGGTCCACTCCTTTTTGTGCGTCTCCCAGAATTGGTCAAAATTTGTCGTATAGAGCAAGAAAGGATCATCCAATCGTTTGGAAACTTTTCAAATCCTAATATTTTTATCAGTGCTATGTCAGCTGCGAAAGTGGACAATATCTGCTCACTCCATGAAAGGGTAGAAATTTTGAATTATTAAAAATCTTATAAAAGGCGAAATAAGCATTCGATGCTTTTCAAATTTCATATATTCCAATATTTCTACTAACACAAGATCTGGTGTGAAGATGGGCTATATCGGTCCATTCCTTCTGGTACCTCCCCAAAGAAAGGGTCTAGATTTCGAATAACCATGAAGCTCATAAAACGCAAAATGGACATCCAATTACTTTTAAACTCAGCACATCTCAATATCTCTACTAACGCCAGATCTGGTGTGAAGATGGAATATTTCGGACCACAGCTTCTGGTACATCCCCCACAACGGGTCAAATTTTTTGAAAAATAAAAAATCTCATAAAAGGTGAAATAAGCATCCGATGCTTTTCGAATTTTGCACATACCAATATTTCTACTAACACAAGATCTGCTGTGAAGATGGGCTATATCGGTCAATTCCTTCTGGTACCTCCCCCACAAAGGGGTCAAAATTTTGAATAATTATATCTCTCATAAAATGCGAAATAATATTTAAGATTCATTCTAAACTTCACATATACGAATATTTCTATCAACACAAGATATGGTGGGAAGATATAATATGTCGGACCACAAATTCTGGTACCTCCCACACAAAGGACTCAAAATTTTGAATAACTTTGAAGCTCATAGAACGCGTAATGAACATCGGATCACTGTCAAACGGGGCATACCTCAATATTTTTACTAACACAACATCTGGTGTACAGATGAAATATGTCGGACCACTCCTTCTGGTACTTCCCCCACAAAGGTATCAAAATTTTAAATAATCATAACTCTCTTAAACAGCGACATAAGTATTCGATTCTCTTAAAATTTAGCACAATCCAATATTTCTATTAATACAAGATCTGGTGTAAAGTTAAAATATGTCGGACCACTCCTTCGGGTACCTACCCCTCAAGGGTATCAAAATTTTGAATTATCATGAAGCTTATAAAAAGCGAAATAAACATCCAATTATTTTCGAACTCGGCACTTCTCCATATTTTCAAACTCGGCACGTCTCCATATTTTTACTAACACAAGATCAGTTATGAAAATGGAATAAAACAACTCCCTCTGGTACCTCCCCCACAAAGGTATCGAAATTTTGAATAATCATAACTCTCTTAAAGAGCGACATAAGTATCAGATTCTCTTAAAATTTTGCACAATCCAATATTTCTATTAATACAAGATCTGGTGTGAAGTTGAAATATTTCGGACCACTCCTTCTGGTACCTCCCCCACAAAGGGGTCGGAATTTTGGATAATTATAACTCTTATAAAATGCGAAATAAACGTCAGATTCTCTTCAAATTTCACATATCCCAACAATATTGATAACAAAACATCTGGTGTAAAAATGGAATATATCGGACCACAGCTTCTGGTACCTCCCCCACAACGGGTCAAAATTTCGAATAATTATAACTTTCTTAAAAAGCGACATAAGTATCCGATTCCCGTTAAAATTTTTCACAATCCAATATTTCTATCAACACAAGATATGGTGAGAAGATGTAATATGTCGGAACACTCCTTCTGGTACCTCCCCCACAAAGGGGTCAGAATTTTGAATAATTATAACTCTTATAAAATGTGAAATAAACATTAGATTCTCATTAAATTTCACACATCCCAACATTATTGATAACACAACATATGGTGTGAAGATGAAATATGTCGGACCACTCCTTCTGGTACCTCCCCCACAAAGGTATCGAAATTTTGAATGACCATGAAGCTTATAAAACGCGAAATAAACATCCAATTATTTTCGAACTCGGCACATACCAATATTTCTATCAACACAAGATCAGGTATGAAAATGGAATATGTTGGACCACTCCTTTTGAGACCTCCCCCACAAAGGGATCAGAATTTTTAATAATTATAACTCTTATAAAATGTGAAATAAGCATTAGATTATCTTCAAACTTCACACATCCCAACATTATTGATAACACAACATCTGATGTGAAGATGAAATATGTCGGACCACTCCTTCTGGTACCTCCCCCACAAAGGGATCAGAATTTTTAATAATTATAACTCTTATAAAATGTGAAATAAGCATTAGATTCTCTTCAAACTTCACACATCCCAACATTATTGATAACACAACATCTGGTGTGAAGATGAAATATGTCGGATCACTCCTTCTGGTACCTCCCCCGCAAAGGGTCAAAATTTTGAATAATTATAACTCTTTTAAAAAGCGACATAAGTATCCGATTCTTTTAAAAATTTGCTCAATCCAATATTTCTATTAATACAAGATCTGGTGTGAACTTGAAATATGTCGTATCACTTCTTCTGGTACCTCCCCCCCCAAAGGGATCAGAACTTTGAATAATTATAACTCTTATAAAATGCGAAATAAGCATCAGATTTTCTTCAAATTTCACACATCCCAAAATTATTGATAACACAACATCTGGTGTGAAGATGAAATATGTCGGACAACTTCTTCTGGTACCTCCCCCACAAAGGGCTCAAAATTTCGAATAACTTTGAAGCTCAGACAACGCGTAATGAACATCGGATCACTTTCAAAATGGGCATACCTCAATATTTTTACTAACACAACATCTGGTATAAAGATGAAATATGTCGGACCACTCCTTCTGGTACCTCCCCCACAAAGGTATCAAAATTTTTAACAATCATAACTCTCTTAAAAAGCGACATAAGTATCCGATTCTCTTAAAATTTTACACAATCCAATATCTCTATTAATACAAGATCTGGTGTAAAGTTGAAATATGTCGGACCACTCCTTCTGGTACCTCCGCTACAAAGGGATCAGAAGTTTGAACAATTATAACTATTATAAAATGCGAAATAAGCATCAGATTCTCTTCAAATTTCACACATCCCAACATTATTGATAACACAACATCTGGTGTAAAGATGAACTATGTCGGACCACTCCTTCTGGTACCTCCCCCCACAAAGGCATCGAAATTTTGAATAACCATGATGCTTATAAAACGTGAAATGAACATCGGATCACTTTCAAACGGGGCATACCTCAATATTTTTACTAACACAACATCTGGTATAAAGATGAAAATTGTCGGATCACTCCCTCTGGTACCTCCCCCACAACGGGTCAAAATTTTGAATAATTATAACTCTCTTAAAAAGCGACATAAGTATCCGATTCTCTTAAAATTTAGCACAATTCAATATTTCTATCAACACAAGATATGGTGTGAAGTTGAAATATATCGGACCACTCCCTCTGGTACCTCCCCCACAACGGGTCAAAATTTCGAATAATTATAACTTTCTTAAAATACGAAATAAGTATCCGATTCTTTTAAAATTTCCCACACTCCAATATTTCAATCGAAACACAATCAGGTGTGAAGAAGGGATATATCGGACCACTCCTTCTGGTACCTTCCCCACAAAGAAATCAACATATTTCCATGCCCAGGAATAGTTCAATTTTATCCTTCCCCAAATTTCGTGGCTCTTCTTTACTAAATTTCGAAGCAAGAAATTTTTCTTGGCTATTTTATTATATTTAATGCAGCTTACGTTTTCCTAAATTTCTTATTTACACAAACACATACAAAAAAAAACGTAAAATATGTATGTCAACCACAAGTGGTCTCCCCCGAATATGACCAAAACAAATGCCTGTCTTTCTTGGCCACTACTTGCTCTTAAGGAGAAAACAGTGAAAACAAATGCCATGAGTCTCAACTTGCAAAAAAAAAATCCCCAAGACAGCAACGCAGCTAGACTGAAAGCACGCACCCATAAGCTGGTGACGTTTTTGATTTCAAAATAAGAAAATAAAAAAAATCAAAAAATAAAAAATGTTTACAATAAAATATGAGACTCTTGCTCTGCTGCCGAGGCTGATGCTCTAGGTTTTTCGTATTTCCCATTTTTTCTCTGAGCACACCCCTCCCCCCATCTCTCTATGTCCAGGTCCGTGCAATAGAGACGAACCATGGCAGCGAATGGCTGATACCACCTATCAACGCGTTCAACAGCTATTCAAGGGTTTCCTTGAAGCCATTTATTTGCTGCCTGCTCAATAACAAAACACAA